GGCTCTAGGAGCCAATCATTACATATCTACATAGCTTTACTGTAGGTGACTTATAGTTTGTATTAGAAAACCAAGCTAAGCATACATATAAATACAATCAGTGTTAAACGTACCCTTAATTGAGTACTTTGTCCCCAGATGTTCTTTGTTTCGCTCATCACAATCAAGAGCCTTTTGCAAAATAAACGACCTGGCGACGATGGTACGAAATGACACTGGATGAATATGTGGATTCGCTGCCAAGTCGTACTCGTCAACGAAGTACACCAGAAAGATGCACGTTGGGCCACACCCGATTTAATGATGACGAAACACTGACAACACGACATAGCATGCGCGTAATCATGACGAAGTGCACGTCAGCGCAATGTAATCTGAGCGACGTAGAATGTGCGTGTCGACACCATATATTAACATGCGAAATGAGCATTTTTAGCAACTGTATCGGTCGATGGCGAGCATACAATGTTAGATAAAATTAAACTATCTCCTACAATAACACTGCCAGTGTTGACGGCTAATATAAAGAAGTGCATTGACGAGCGGCTCGTCGAAAACGTATCGATCACCCCTGTGGCTCTGTTTGGCATTATTTGCGAGAAAATATCTCGCCTTACGCTCCGAGGACCTCCGCCGAAACATAGTCGAGTACAGCGTTACACCAAAAAATGGCGTAAAGCTCATAAGAGAGATACATTTCAGCCAGTGATTGACCTTTGTAGCCAGTATATGCTTGACAATGTGGAAAATATACCTGATGATCCCAAGAGAATGATAATACTTTGTAACTCCCAGCACGACGACAACATTTGTGTTGTTCCTACCGTGGGGGATGGGTCTGCTGCACTCCCATTTCGTATTATAGTTCCCATTTCGTATTAGAGTCACTTGTTATTCATTACTAGAAACGTATGTTGAAATGTAAAGCGATCCACGCTGTACGACAATCAACAGCACCCATTGTACAGTCAAACAAAAATTTCCTGTATCCGTTTTGGATTTTTAGATTGTCGGGGCAAGTTGTTTCCTTGAACTTTCTTTGTACGTCGCAACGGAAAGGAAACAATGTTGAGTGGTACATTGCGTTTACAAAGTACATTATTCGAGAGGTATTTTTTGTTGGTAATTTTTACGCCGGATTTCGTGATATCTGACGCGGATAACGCACAATTTAACGCGTGTAAAATTGCATTACCTCGCTCCAAGTTCTTGATGTGTTGGTTCCACGTATGTCAAAATATGAAAGATCGATCTAAAAGGAAGTTGGAGGGTGTGATTATAGACATGATATTTCGCGGCCTGAGCAACCTGCACTATGCGCAAAATGAGAATGAATACTTTAGAAGAAGGTCATTCATTCTAGCTTCGTGGCGCGCAGCATCAGATTTCTTTGTGATCCTTTCCGTAAATTAGCAGATGATATTATATCTCAGTGGATTGCACTCTCGGTTTAGCATGAGGCAAGCTTTCCACACACCTCCGGGGTACGCGGCAACGAAAAACCCTTAGAGCAGTATCATAAATTTCTCAAGTTAGTGAAGAAGTCTAAGAGAACCCACCCATAAAAAAAACTCGAGAAATTAGATTAGTCGCGCCTCGTTTTCGCTACCTCGACGGCTACTTTCAAGAGCACACTCATGTTTCGCATCGATTAAACGCCCTGTACTCTTTGACAATACGGAAGCGAGAGCTTTCTGCGACATTGCTTGCAGCAGCTGATGTGATTCCAGCCCAACTAGTCCAAATACAACATATTCCAAGAAGGCGGTATGGTGATCCAGAGAGCAGCTCGTCTGATGATTTTTTCGTGGAGCCAAAAAACCAAAATCTACCGTATAAGTCAATTCATATAGTGTGTATGCAGTGGCAAAGTATGCCGGAAAATGGATGGCTCGTTAACGCTATTTCGCGTACATATGGCTGTCGTTTTAGTGGAAAGTTTGATGTGTGTGTTCATATAATTCACGCTACACAGGAATTGCGACTTCCCTGCCACGGAATGCCTTGTCGAGAAAGTACATTTGTTACTGTAGGATGACAGCGCAAAAGAGAAAGGAGAATCAGACATGGAAGCCGCAGTCAACATGACCTAGCGGTCACGCCAGCTAATCTACAGGGAAATAAAAACACTGTGCAAACGGTTGCTCACAGGCAAATGTACGGTCCATGGCTGCGTTGCCCTCCGGCCGAGCAGAACAGGGAATTACAAAATAGCATATCCATTCCAAGCACTTTTCCAGATTCAGCGGGATTATTATTTTTCTATTTTGATCCCACTGAATTTGATGATGGAGTTGAAGATCAATTCGGTGAATATGACAAAACGGGTCACACACCACACGATCAACCGTTTGAATTGAATTTGTCCTGACGCAATTTGAAACCGAAATCTTATGACAGTCGTACCTCAACTTCATACCGTGTGAACATTAATCGTGACGACCACAGCACCGACACATCATTTTACTTTTCGAAACACAAACTATTGGTCCCTGACAAACATCCATGTTGAAGAAACCTTTAGAGCTGGTGGTGGCCGCGAGAATACAGTGAATCCGTTTAGGCGTATCTCTGATATCCACACAGCCAGTAAACGGCAAAGAAGTACGCATCGTGCTTCTTCTGCTCACACTAAGCGACGCAACTGCTAATACCATCACGATAATACATATCTTGATTCTGGGACCTATTTCGGTGGCCTTTCATGCATTCAATGCACATAAAGTGTCTGCTTTAATTCCTCCTCCATCATGAATCAATGTAACAACCCTCTGACAAGAGTATTGTAATGAGTGGGGAGCTGATACCGAGATCCCACTAAACAGTAGCTGAACGGCCACAGCGAAGATGGCAGCCGATTCATCGCTGTGTGCAGTAAGGGGATTGCCACGGATTCGAAGGATTGCTGATCTTGAAGAACCGCCAGACAATGAAGTGAGTGGGCCCTTAAAGTTGACGGAGGCGTGTCGCCCGGGATCGACCGGAACTAAGGTACTGGGTATCACTGGACGAGACTTCGGAATTTGCCGAACAGAGCACACTGGGACGGGACTTTCGAATTTGCAGCGTGAAGCGCACTGGGCGCTTACTTCCGCATTTGATACAAGGGACGCAGAAGACGCGGAGACAGAACTGAGGAGGGCAGACGAAGTCATTCAAGCAGGACGAGCAGCAGGGAGGACAGTAGACGAGCAGACAGCACGAGCTCCGCTGGGAGGTGGCGAGACGGTCAAGTGCCGCGGACCAGGCGAGGAGCAAGTGAACGAGACGAGTAGACTGGGAGCGAGCAGGAATTGATGGAAGCTGGTCTGACGAGAACTAGCGAGTGTATTAACTGAGTAATAAATAAGAGACGGGCGCATTGGGGCGTACGGATCCAGCGCGGTGACAAGTAGTTACCGTCAGCGAACGAGTCTTCATTGAGCTGAGCACAAAAGGACGGCCGCAGCTCAGCTATACGACTTGCCTAACAGCCGGGCAAGAAACGTGGCCTGTTACAGTATGTAAGTAAGATCGTGTATCCAAATGATTGCACCATGTCGATCCACCCCGATAA